TCTTTCTTCCTCGCCGTCGTTTTCTCCTCTGCAACCTTCTAGCCGCAACGTCACCAAGAAGTAGTCTTCCGCTTACCGTCTCTGCGAGGGGGCAACGCGCGCACGCGCCCCCTTCCGCGTACACCCTCGTGCCTCGTTGAAAGAAGGAAGAAGAGGTGGTACCGCCGCGTTCTGCTTGATCGTCTCGATCTTCTTCCAATTTCTCGTCCTTCGACACGCGTAACGTTAGCGATACTGCGCGATCATCGTCGTCTTTCGAACATCCACCTCCAACTTTCTCGTACGTCTTTCTCCTTCCGACGAAATCTTCAGGATTCAACGAGCATCCGACGACGATATTGGGATTCCTCCTCGTCTTTCGCAACGAAGGGATAATCACTGCTATCGAGTCACTCGCTGCCGCATTTCGCGGGGTCCCGCGATTCAGACGGAATCAACGTTGGAAGAGCGGACAGGTCCCTAGTCACGGTCGGAAGAAGGGACGCGCATAAGTCAGCCGGCCGACCGCGGCTGACAGTTTTATGAGAGTTTGATAGTCTTCGGCGCGGTGTTCTCCGTTCACGGTGGCAGATGAGAAGCTTGGAACGTGTCCGTGGGAGAGACGAGGCTGCTCTCGCTGGCGGAAGAGAGAGGAGAGCCACTCGAGCGAGCAAGAGGGAAACACGCGCGCACTACGCACCACACTCTTTATTGTCCCATAAATTCAAACCTGTTGCCCATAGCCGAATGAGAGGGACGGACCGAAAGAAGGAACGACAGAGATGGAAGGCCAGGGTGACGGACAGAGGAAGAGAGATAGAGAAGGAGGGAAAGAGAGAGTGAGAAAGAGAAGAACAGAAAGAGAGAGAGAGAAAGAGAGAGAGGAAAGCGTGCACGAGGTTAGGAATCCTCTCCCAATCGCGCAATCCGATTGACGCCCCCGTTATCGCACGTACGGCGAACCCGGACGCAACTCGTAACTCACTGAACCGACTGAGCCGGTCGAGAGGAGAGCCTTCGGAGTTGGCGGCTCGAAGCAAGCAGAAGCATGTGTGACGTAGTAGCCAGTTGGTCAAACGGGGGGCACCGCGGGGTGGCGACGTGCCGGTGGGGTTCCGGAGCGTAGGGGACGGCCGAGGAGGCGGAGCTCTCCTTGCTTCTCGCGGATAATTCTTCGCGCTCGACTTTGTCGGATTTTCCATACATATTTTCCGCGTTCCCCGCGATTATATTTCACGTAATGAAATCATTGCATTCCTGTTTCCCTGTTTACTCCTGGTCTATCTTCTATTTTCATCTATATTTTATCAAACAGCTGTTAGCCAGTGTACGTTACATTTCAAACGACAGTCGCGAAATTTCCTTTAAATATCTTGTTTATGACTGCGAGGAAACGTTCTTGCAGAGCTATACACGGCATCGAAATCAGTTCACGTTTCGATCGGAGTTGGAGGATTTCGGGGGGAAAGGAAAACAGGGCGAAAAGCGAATAGTATGCCACTCGCTCGCCAGATGTGGCAAGTGCGTTCGTTCCTGTTGAATTGTCGCGCGCGCCCGCCTCCGTCCGCCCCACCTCTTCTTCCGCTTTCCCCTACCAGCGCGCTGTCGCACCCCACCATCGCCAACCAAACTGGCTATCTCTTCCACTTTAAGTTCTCCCGCGGTTGTGTACGTGTACGCGGCCAACCCCACCAGCTCTTCGGTATTCGCCACTTCGGAGCCCGGTATTTGTCCTACACCTACCATCCTTCTAGGCCTCTCTTTCCACTTCGTGGTGGCGTGCCCTGAACGATCGTGCGCGCGCGCGACAACTAACTCGTTCGCCGAGAGAGAGGGAGAGACAGTCAGAGAGAGAGAGAGAGAGAGAGAGAGAGAGAGAGA